GACTGCATCTCGGCCTATGAACCCACCAGATCTTCCGGGGAGGCCCTGCTCTCGATCCCGCCAGGTTCACAAGCACGGCTGGCGGGGACAAGAGATAGGGCCTTCTCGGTGGTGGCTCCCTGGCTGTGGAATGCCCTTCCCACAGACATTAGATTAGCACCATCTCTAATGGTATTCCGCAAAAAAGTAAAGACCTGGTTATTTGTGCAGGCGTTCAAATAATTAGTGCAATGATTGGTAACGACATAGGAATGGAACAATGGATGACGAATCTGGATCGTGTTTTTTAGTGATGAGACACTAGTGAATGGTTATTATAGTAATTGTATAATATTATAGTATATCTGTGTATTAGATTAGGTTGTTAACTGTTTTTTATATTGGTGCATTGAATTTTGCTGTTCCCTGTGTGTTGTGAACCACTGTGAGTCGCCTTCGGGCTGAGAACAGCGGTATAGAAGTAAAGTAAATAAATAAATAAATAAATATTAGTCCTAATGGACATTGGGCACTCTTGCCAGTGTTCCCGTATGCATCTTTACAATTAACTGACAGGTTCTGCACTACCCCTTAGCTAGATGCAGAAAACCCTTGTGTCCATGGATGACAACTTCATAGACCCCAAATGAATCCTTGAAATTATGAATAACTCTATATTTTGACTATGTTCTGCCAGAAACATATAGAATATGATATGAATGTTGTATAACACCAATATCTAATGAAGAGACCACATTGTTTAGAAAATATAAGTCCAGGCAAGAAACTAGAGAATCTAGAAAGGCTCACAAACACTTGTAGTCTGGGTAACTGCAACCATGGATATGTTATGTTATGTTATGGATGATCTGATGATTATCCAATTTTCTTCCTGTGAATTTTTAAAAGGGATATAGTGCTAAGTTTCCCCTTGGTTGCAAAATTACTAGGTTTATTTTATTCTACTTATTAGGTATGTGAAAGGTAAAGTTTAAATTAAGTTATAGTATATACCCAAAATAGATTTGGGGATAATATGAACAGCTTTTAAATACATATACACTAAACTAAATAAAACTATGGTGAGCCTCTCCAAGTATAGCCAGGGGCGGCTCAACCCATTACGCAAAGTAAGCATTTGCAGTATAGTTGATTTTGCCCAGGGGTGCTCTTGAGGTGCTCTTGGGGGAAAATAGACCTTGACATATGCAAGTTATAGTTACTGGGATGTATAGTTCACCTACAATCAAAGAGCATTCTGAACTTCACCAATGATGGGATTGAACCAAATATGGCACACAGAACTCCCACGACGAACAGAAAATATATATCAGTGATTGGTTATGGGGGGGACGGACCAAAATACTGTTTGCTTACCGTTGAAAATTACCTAGGGCCGCCTCTGAGTATAGCCCATCCCTTTTCTTAAAGATATAAAAAATTGAAAATATTTATAAAATCTTCACAAAAATAATAGTATTCAGAAAACCTCTGGAAAGCATCCTGGTCTAAAAACAATATTTACACGTGGTTATTTTTTCAGACATTTTCTGTGCACGAAATTGAATATTAAATTAGACATTATTTCTCTACTTTTTCAAAGGCACCTTAATTATGGAAGTTTAGACTCATTAATTTCTTGAGAACACGCTTTCCATTTTTAGTGAGGACTCAGTGCAAAGAGTTATTGTGGCCATATACACATCACTTTAAAGTAGCACATCAAGCCCTTGCACACAAATATCAAGAAAGCAAAATATGATATTTATGTTGTATAATACCAATATCTAATGAAGAGACCATATTGTTTAGAAAATATAAGTCCAGTGATGCTGCTAAAGGCAAGAAACACACTGATTCTCTGTCACAATCAATACATATACTTCCTGAAATAGAGTCACTATGTAAAGGTCATAGGTGTTTTTAAAAAGATTCTTCATGGTACTTGAACATGGTGAGTTAATTCAAGCATATGGCACAAACTGGAAAATAAACTTATCAGTATTTTTTGGCTTCTGAATACTGGTTGCTAGGGACAAAAAACAGTGAAAAGCTTTTTCTCTAATAGTCTGTTTATGGGCATCCTGAAGAATTTGGCTCACTAGATTTGGCATCAGAATGCTGTATTCTACTGCCAAGAGAAATCAAATAAAATATGGGTAAAAAATAGCTTGGATGCGCACATCAGCTTTTTGGGAAAAGGGTGTATGAGGATATGCAATATTTGTGAAATTATTCAGATTTTAAAATAGGTCTTGTCCCAGAATCTTGACAAGATTCTGAAGATGAAGAAAAAAGTAATCTCAGTCATCTATAATACACTTTTAACTTGGTTAACGGAATGTGAACAGGTTAAACCATGTATGATAAAACAGGCAGAGAATATAAGAAGACCTATTCAATTTAGAGAGTGGGAGCAGATGTGGAACAAAAAGTTAAAATATGTCTATGCGACAGACTTAAAGGAAAACTGGATAAAAATGTTCCACAGATGGTATACCACTCCTAAGAAAATGGCTCTTATAAACAAAAATTCTTCTGATAAATGTTGGAAAGGTTGTCACCAGATAGGTACCTTTTATCATATGTGATGGACATGTAAAGAAATAGTGAGATATTGGTCGATGGTACATGAAGAAACACAAAAAAATCCTGAAGAGAGTATTCAAGAAGAAACCAGAATACTATCTATTAGGTTTCACAGATTTAGAATTACAATTAGATGAAAATGAAGACAAATTATTTACATATATTACGACGGTGGCGAGAATATATTTGGCAAAACTTTGGAAACAGAATAGTATCCCCACCATAGAAGAATGGTTAGGGAAAGTTAGAGAAATAAGAGAGATGGATGAACTAACTTTTTTTAAAAAAATACCGGGAACCCAATAAAGAAGACAGATTGGACCCTCTATGATAATTACAAGAAAGAAAGAAGTAAGTAAGATGAATTTTTGTGTCTGGAAGCAATGGAAACATTTTTATTTTTGGAGATACAACACCTGATGAGGAGATGGAAGTCAATTATTTTTAATTTTTATTCTTATTTTTAATTTTATTTGTATCTTTTTTTTAAAAAAAATTCCTCCACTTTTTCTGAACCTGAGGAGGGGGGGGTGGTGCACTTTTTTTTCTCTTCTTTTTTTCTTCTCTCTCTCTTTTTTTCTCTAGTTAATTATTATTTCCTACTGTTCTATCTTCTTTTAAATATTCACCCTCTTTCGCTGTAATTTTATAATATTTCAATTAAAAACTACTTTAAAAAAGATTTTAAAATAGGTTACAGCTGTCATAGGTTTGGCATAGTATAGAAACTGGTTCCCATGTTACTTAGTTTGGTTAATTTTCCACCTTAGATTGACTGATGCATACCATGTTGTAAATGTTGTGCTTATAATGTCAGGCACCCACCAATCAGGTGGGATCCTTGTGCTACCTGGGTATGTCAGATATGTTAACAAGCTAGGTTCAAGCCTTGAACTTCAACCCCAGAATCCCTAATGGGAACCCTCAACATCTGATGTGCAAGGCTGAATGAATACTGCTCCTAAACTGTCTTCCTTATGCTCTCAGTTCTTCCAACTCAAAGGTCATGATGTAATACAATCGCAACCATAAAATATTAGGATGCTTTATATCTATAAGGAAAACTCCTACCCATGTCAACAAGTGGTCAACTGTATCCATAAATTGCAGTAACCCTTGAAAGGAGCAAGGAGGCACTGGTAATACACACAGTGCGGCCCCAGAGAGGGCAGTGGTTCCCAACCTTTTTTGAGTTGCAACCCCATTTTATAGAGGCAAAGTGACCCACGACCCTGAGACATTAAAATAGGCTTTTAATAGGGAAAATGAAAACACTATGACATATGACATCGGCTTTGGAACACCCTCCCTATAGAGGTACGATCAGCCTCTTCGCTGATGGTGTTTCGGAAGAGATTGAAAACATGGTTGTTTAAACAAGCATTCGGCTAATCCATTGCAATCGAATTTTGGTGACTAAGGACAGGTAACCATGGACAACGAATTCTGGATTATGATTTTAGTTCGAGATGCATGGGATTATTATTGGTGGCCCAATAATTTGTATTGTATGTGTGTATGTTTTAAATTGGAGACTGTTTTTTTAATTGTTGTAAACCGCAATGAGTCGCCGACCTAGGCTGAGATATTAGCGGTATACAAGTGAATAAATAAATAAATAAATAAATAAATATTTAATGCAGTGATTGAAATTGTAACTCATTAACGAACTTAAACATTTACATATGAGTTTTCATTAATGCCAACCTCATGTCATTCTCAACATTTAATTTGTTTCTTGTTTTGATTTTCAATTGAAGAAACCTTGAAAACCCACTGTCACAGAGATTTATAGAAACAAAATGGTAGTAAAACATGAAATGCAAACATGGTGATATTTGGATGACATTATTTTTTTGTTTTCCCTTTTAAAAATTTTCATAGCTCACTACTGCCCAGTGACCCTACAAAAAACTCATGGGTTGGGAACCACCTCCCTAGGTGCTTCTTCCAAAAATCTAGAGATCAACTCATATTCTTCTTTAGTATAGAGTGGTTTCTAATTGTTATATAACTGCACAGCACTCTGGAGCTACTTTTTGCAGAAAATAAAGTAAAAGCTGCTCCCCCTCCCCACCAAGCATGGGTGCAAATATGGTGTCTGAATGGTAAGGGGTTTATTCTTGGTATGATACATCAACACACTTCCTGTTGGATATCTTTTTGCATAGATTCAAGCTTTATTTCTGATATATCTGTACAATGGTTACAGTTTTGTTCATGCTTAGAGGGAAGAAATCCATACCATGTGAGTCAGTCAACACAGAACTGGCACATATAAAACAGTTCAATCACTAGTTTTTACAATACAAAAGTATTTCAAAGTGTACTTTAGTTATCTAGTTACAAATTGGGTAGCACTGATTAACTTTCAGTATTATTCATGCTTTAATTTAATTTTGTATTTTTTTACAAACTTATCACTTTTTTAGGTGTCAGTGGCTTCGATAAGTTTGTTGGAAACTACACTCCTGAGCTATCTCAGTTATAAAGTAAGTATTTATAGGTACATTCTTTCAAATTCATATTTCATAGTGAAGCATTTATCTCTGGAAAGCTCTCTCTTAACTGAGAGAAAACAGTTTGTAAATAGGTATGTTAAGGATGCTTAGAGGCTGTTACAATGCTTTCTCAACACTTTAGAACTTATTGTAATTTTTTGCAATTGTAATTTAGATTTCTGCTCTCTTTCATTCCATCATTGCCCATCACCCAGTTTTATCCATGTAAACAAATACCTTTTCACTAAGAATCCATTGCTTTGTTTGCACTCTAGGCATTTATATCCTTGTTTATTTACTTATACAGACAGTCTCCAAGTTAAGAACAAAATATATTCTGTAGGTTTGTCATTAAGTTGAATTTGTATGTAAGCTGGTACAGTTCATTTTAAAGTGTAACTCCAACAAGATAGATGATAGATAGATAGATAGATAGATAGATAGATAGATAGGGCATGTACGATTCATAAAAATGTTTCTAAAGTACTTACAAATTTCTGAACTCCAATGAGACTAACAAAATTTTGTAATTACTTCATTAATCTCCCTCATTTTAAAGCTATTGAGATGAAACTTGCCACAGTGGTAGAACACATTTACCACTATTAGCTCACCATGTTTCAGGACATTTGACTTATCCATGGTTTTGGCAAATTTTCAAAATGTTTATAGAATTTTTTTTAATAATAAATGAAAATCTGTTCCTGGTTTGAAAATGTTATTTCCTGTTTCATTGTGTGGTCTTTATTTTGAAAGTCATTGCTTTACACCAGAAATTTTGTTTTTGTGGCAGAAACTGTGTTAAATTGGTGGAGACTTAACAAAGCAAAATGTGCTATATATAAGACAATACATTCTGAGAAATGTAGTTTAGCACAGGCATATGGCTCCTCCTCGCTTCCCAAACTGTGCATGTTTATAATTAAATTACTATAAATGGGAAAGCTTCAGGGGCTCCTATATTCCTCATTTTTAAGCTGTTAAGGTGAAACTGGCTACAATGGTAGAACATATTTATCACTGTTAGCCCATGAAATTTCAGAACATTTTACGTATCCACAGATTTTTGGGAAATTTTCAAACTTTTTAAAACAACTTAAAAAAAAAACTACAAGAGCTAACTCCTTGAATTCTCTGTCCAATGAAACAGGAATAAAAAGTTAAGAATCGAAGCCTTCAAAGGGTTAAATTTCCTGATGTTTTCAGCGCACTGCTCAGAAGCGTCAAAATACACGTCATGTGAAACATACAAATACTACTTACTACGATTTCCAATACAAGCACACATGCCTAATAAATATATATGCAAGCTTTGGATAGCATAGAGAATGGTTAACATCCCTGTGGTGTTTGTTTTGTGGTCAGTGTCCATGTTCAGAAGACTTCACCTCACTTTCTCTCCCTGTGATAATGAGATTTTGAAAAAATTGGCTTGTTGTGGAAATAATGATTTGTGATAAAGCTCCAGCGGAGACACCTTTTTCCCATGATAAATCTTCCAGCAATGAATTTCCCTTCTGAGGGGTAAATTTCTCTCACTTCCCACCCTATGAGTCATTTGTATGTTTTTAACTCAAGTAATGCCTGTATACTGTGTTGCTTCCAATATACTATGCAAATAGTTCAATACTTTAAAAAATAATTAGTATCTAATCCAAATAAAGCATAAATTTAAAACAATTAAAAATACGAGGGGTATTTTTTAAGTAAAGTCCGTTGGAACATAAGTACACAACAAAAGTWTATTTCAAAAAAGTAAATTTATTTTCAGAAAGTACATACTTCACATACCTCTGAACCAATTTTAAAATACCCTCTTCATAAATCTTRGCTTCAACTGAAGTCACCAAATCGTCTGTAATCAAAGAAGGGCGACCGGAGCGATCCTCATCATGGACGTTGTCACGGTCATCTTTGAATTGTCATACCCACTTACACACTTTGCTTTCACTCATAACAGTATCACCGTATGCTTCACAAATCTGTCAATAAATTTTTGCAGCAGGCAGGTTCCTTGCTGATAAAAACTTTATCACTGAGCGAACCTCACATGTGGTAGGTGAGTTGATAGTCTTAAACATTTTTAAAGCACAAAACAGAACTGTACAGGTTAGCTACAGAGCGGAAACTGAGCAGAGTTGTTCAGGAGGCATGCCGGTACACGACGGATATGCTCTTTGCGGTATGGGCGCGAACTACTAGTGTCTACAACAAAACGGACCTTACTTAAAAAATACCCCTCGTATGTTCAACACATATTACAAAATACCCATTATACATCCTTCTGCAAAAACCAATTAAAAACCAAAGACTTCTGGGTGGGAGTTCCATAAACTAGGAGCAAATATTAAAAATATACTGACCTATCTTCTCACATAGGGTGTTTCTACACTGACAGTATAATCTAGCTTGGAATCCGTTTGAGAGGAACCAGTTTCCCTGTGTGGGTGATTAGATTGAAAGGTTTGAAACTGGTTTGAGACCAGGATGATGATTAAATTTGCCATCAAACCTGGCCTCAAACCATTTTGTAGGTTCTTTCCCCCCATTTCTCAGAGATATGCACATCAGCGCACTGGAGGCATATAAGTGAAAAAAGGGGAGAATGAATTACCCCGTCCAGGGGGTTAAGTAGCCCACTGTTGCCCAGCTTTGCCCTTTGAACATTTCTTTGAAGCCTCCTTTAGGATTTGTTTACTGCACTTCAGCAGTTGGCTATTGAATTCACAGAAAGCGGAGGGGGACGTACTCCCTGCTTCAAGTGAAACTGTCTCCTTCAGATATAATACAATAAGTGCCCTTGCAATGAAAGAAATGTAAGACTTGATATATGTCTGTTAAATCTCCAAATACAATTTCCCCAAATACAAGTGCACTCTATATTCCTTTGTGTGTGTATCTGTGTGTACACACACATCCTTAATTCCCAAATAAGATTAACTGTATTTGATGAGTAGTATGTGCTTCAAGCAGGTATCTGTCAGTTAGTATGACACAGAATGAATGCTAGCCTGCCAATCAATTTTGTATTGTTATAGAAGAAAGATGCTGCAATTGAATAATTTTAAGTGGTCTGCTTTTGACTTCTATCTAATTTGTAATTATGGTTGAACACTGCAGCACAATAAAGCCCCACAATAATAATAATAAGTAGCTGTCTTCTATCTACTGCTGCTTTGATGCAGTCATTCCAGTTGTGCGAACTTGGGCTGTGACGAACATGTGGATTTTCACATGAGTAGGAATTGTTCCCTGTTATGTTGAGTTTTCTATAATTGTGGTGAAGGTAATATCTCTTTACTGTGTTCTTTGGAGGCTTTGCCTTCTGATTAATTGAAACACTTCTATGGTTTTTCCAAAATCTGTTACTGAAATAAAGGTATTGAAAATATTGTTGACTTTTTCCAAGATGAAGGCAAAGATTTATAAAACACAACACTCAAGACCGTGGCCTCTTCTGCAATGCACGTGTTCTATCTACTCTTCTCTGGAGTTCTGCTCAATGTTACTGCTACTATATCTTTCTATGAGTAACTATCGTTACTCTAGGCCCCTGCATTATGTATCTATCTCTAGATGGCCTTGAGTGGGAAAGGGACTCTCCACACCAGCGAAGTTGGTGTGGGGGAACAATTTGCCTCTCCCCCAAATGAAGAGAATGGATGGTTCCAGTGGAACCATCTGGAAAAGGGGGCGGGGGTTGGCTGACTGTTGCAGCCAGCCTCCTCCCTCATTCTGCCGTGAGATTTCAACCCACCARGCCCACCCACTGATAGTATAATTATTTGGTTGCCATCTGGAACCAGGTAGGAATTTTTTGCCCCCTATGTTCTGGGGGGTTTTTTCGCCTACCCTATACTGTTATTAGGGGCTAGCTGGGATGGTGTGTTTTAATTAGACTAGCATAAAATAGCATAGGAAAACACAGATATTGATGTATACACAAGGCACCCCTTAAGGGTTGGGGTCATTACACTACAAACACTCACCTAGAGGTCAACAAATGGGTGAGGGGACATCACATGGCACAGAAACGGGAGAGTCTGAGATCAATAATTTGATACAGGCTTCTCCAGACCTTTACTTTAGAGGTTGCCCGGTTTGGGCTCCAGGGGACACAGATATTACACACTGAATAGCCGAGGACGCTGCCTCGGTTTGGACACCAAGTTCCTAGACACATAGTTTAGTTCAGTTAAAGTTAAATASGTAACATTTAATAAAGTTGCCCAAATTTGAATCCAACCTATTGTTGTCCAGTCTCGTTATTTCGGGGGTTAAGGGGCAAACACAAATTATTGAGGACTAAAGTATCTGTTGCTGTTATACCTCATTGTATTCCATGGTTCCTCTTTCCAGAGTAACATCATTGAAAGTGAAACGATAGAATACACTGGGTTAAATCTATTTACTCATGTTGTAGCAGTTACCTCTCTTATCCAAGTAGGAACTAAATTTTATATGAAATTTAGTGAGAGAGGAGATATGGCAGGGTGTCTCTTTGTGGATCAGAGAATGGGGAAGGCCATGTATGTTTTTAGTTTGGAGAAAAGGAGTTGAGTCCCACCCATCGTTGGTTCTGGCCATGCACACTGCTGAGTTAATAACGTAATTTTACTGTTTATTACTGTATGTGTGCGACAATGTACAAAATTACCTCTGGTTTTTGCTTTACCTTTGTTTTCAAAAGGGAAACATATGGGAACAAGTTGTGCGGATTCCTTTCCTGTTGGAAATTATTAATGCTATTCCTTTCATCATTACTGTAAGTACCTCTATTTCTATTTTCTAAGAGGAAAAGACTATAGAAGTTCACTGATAGGTTATTTTGCATAGAAAAATGATTAAGTTCCAAATAAAGGTTTACATTTTTTCTTTATTGATTTATCTGTAATATTGAATTTTGGTTTCAACAACTAAATTGAACTATGCTTGAGATGATGTGAGTTTTATTTAGTAAGTTAAGAGTTTCTTTTCAAAGCTAAGTTAGACTTGATTTATTTATTCCTTTAGACTTTTTCTTTTTTTCTTGATCTTTCTCACAGTAAGAGTTGCAGTACTTATTACACTGTTATAATAAGTACCACCGCAAATTTATTATTGTACCACATCTAGGGAACGTTCATTCTTCAAAATGATAGATATTTGATTATAATTAAATTGTAGAGATAACATTGTATGGAATTTTAGTATTTACATTAGAACTCTCTAGCAAAGAATTCTATAGTCTTACCAAACTGAAATTCCAGAATTCCATAGAATACATCTGTGATCAATTACAATTGAATTATAATGGTACATTTCTGTAATGTTAAAGAGCTCCCAGTTTCAGTGATCTGTTTAGACAGTTACCTCTCAGAAAATGAAATGAAATAAAATGAAAACACAATCATCCCAATATAACAAAAATATACTCAACTCCGATCTAGGCAAACAGGATATTTTTGTCACCCATGCACCCACCCCCAGTCATTTTTCAGAATGCACACAATAGTAGACTTTCAAGTTAGACATTCTATATCTTCTCAGCCATGGAGTGTTAAGCAATATCCATCAGTTTCAGCAATTGTCATTTCACATTCAGACACTTTTTTTAATATACAGAATATGACTGGGACAAAAAGTCCATTTCTATTGACTATGTTTATTTTGCAAACAAAGAGATCTGACATCTACTTAGAATAAATATTTCATCTAATGTGACAACATCTTTTCTTGTGGCCCCAACCATAAATCAGGATGGAATGCAGCACTGAACACACGGGCTAGTCATTTGTTGGGGGCAAAAGGCTACAGTTTTGTTGTTTACATCTGAAGCAGCTTTGCTTAGAAAGGGCAAGGATCCAGACATCAGATCAAAGCTTGAAATACTACTTTTGAAAATAAATTCAATAATACATTAGATATCAGAAAATTAATTACCACAAATACTTAATTGTCACATCATTGCTTAATTTGTGGACAAGAGTAAGATGAAAATCCAAGGAAGAAAGAAATATGGGATGGGTTTGGATTTTTTTGCACTGAATTATCTACTGAATATTTTGCACAGAATTGTGTGAACAGAGTTTCAGAGGACTATAATGTAGCCCATCCCAAATGACATTGTAGAATAATTGTATATTGCATAATAATTCATGCAGAATCCTGTCCAGCATAGTATTAGTAGAGGAGGAGAAAATACTGGAGATAATTATGATATATCTCACCCTTCAGAAAGAGTCTGAAAGGTTTTCTTTTCATATAGGTGCATAGGAACACCTACATTTCCCCCCCACGAGTTAATAAATTTTGGGGCAAACGTATGCTCAATTGTATATCAAAGAGCTCTTGACATTGCTGCACAAAATGATCTAATGATCATAGCGCAAGCTAAAGCCACTCCATACCTGGCCAAATTTAAATGTAAAGTCGGCATGGAAACTTACCTCTCTTTTATACTTCCACTATATATTAGAAAACTTTTTACCAGGGCTAGATTTGAGCAGCTCGACATTAAGTCCAAGTTGGGACGACATCAGAATATTCTCTACACGAGGAGAACCTGTGGGTGCCGTGAGGTAGATGCAGAAGTGGAGGACTCAGAACATTTTTTCTTAAAATGTCCCTACTACAACAGGATCCGGTCTTACTACCTAGAGCCTCTGCTGGAGAATCATACTTATTTAGAGAATAAGGAGAAATTGCACATCCTCCTACAGAGTTCAGATAAAAACTCTATTTTAAAATTGACCCTTTTTACCCAAAAACCGCTGGCCATCCGTGAGAAGATGGAAGCAGAGAGAGGTGACTTTGCTGCCATCAACAAAATTCAAACTTAAAAACTTAATATGGACATGCCACTAGTTTTACCTACCCGCGCCCCTGCCCAAACCCTACTTTAAGGAATTAATCAATTTTTAATCTTTTAATTTTTTTTTATCCTGTAGTGGGTTGACAGGCCAGTAGGCCGGGATGCCTTGTATTCATTTATGGCTTTACTGTATGTATGGGCAAGTGTGTATGTTTTGTATGTTTTGCATGTTTTGATATGGTCAAAATTGACTAATCAATAAGTAATTGTTGTTGTTGACACTTACATTTCAAACGATCATGAAAGGATCCTTATTGTCCAAGTATCTTAGTAAATGTCTAAAGAAGCAAATCACTTCACCCACTACCCTGTTTTTCAAAACACACTTTCTTTCCTACTTTTCCATTTTTCTTCTTTCCCACAGCCATCTTTTCTCCACTTTGTCTTCCCAAAGAAATCAAACAGTTTAGTCTTCCTAACAAAAGAGCTAATTCTAATATTTATTCATTGGAGGCAGCAGGATTCCAAGGTTTTTTTAAAAGGAGAGTTATATAACCATTAGGCCTGGGTAACAACGGAAAAATTTGTTTCTAAAATCGATTCGTTTTTTGGGGGTTTTTGCGTTTCGATTTTTAAAAGAATTCCGAAATTTTTCTTTTAAAAAGTTCAATATTTACGAAATTTCGTAAATTACAAAACAATACGAAACAATTACGAAACAATTACGAATCGATTCGTTAATGGCGGACGCGACCGCGCAATACGCTAAAAAACCTCCAAATGGGACAGGGGGAACTTCTGAAGCTTCCCTCTCCCTCTGTTGTTGACTGTTGGTGTGATATTATAATTTTTTTTCACTGATTAAACAAACAACAACTATAAAACTTGCCCTAGACATGCGGAAATAATAACGAAACGGTTTCAAAACGATAACGAAACGAATACAAAACGGATCCGAAGCAATTACGAAACGAATTTTAAAATTCGTTTCGTTTTTTAGATGCTCCTGAATGGTTCGTTATCGCTTCATTATAAAAAAAATGAATTTTTAATGAATTACGAAATTACGAAATGAAACCGCCCAGCCCTAATAACCAGTTCTTTAAAATTCTAACAATTTAATTAAAGTAGCTTTTAACTTCTGCCATACTTGGAAAATCTAGTGAGTTTATAGCAAATGACTACAAACATTTAATGAACCCAATTCATTAATTGTGTAGATAATCCCAAGCTCCATATGAGCCAACAGAACTTGTAGAATAATCTTGACTCTTCACCCACAAACGTTTGTAGATACAGCAGGCATTTTTATACCTGAAATACACTGGGGTTTATTGGGAACAGATCGTATTTCAGATTACACCTCTCAGAAGATGTTCTGACTGAATGAACATTGGAATCAGAGAAGTAAAGACTGCAGTTATAAGCAGACCAATCCTAAGTACATTAGTTTACAGGAAAGACCCACTTCAATGATTGTGACTTCTTGACTGCAATCTTTTTGTGAAGCAAAAACTGAGAAAAGTGTATCAATGTCAAACTTTTCCTAGCTTTTAGGCATTTTCTTATCTATTTCATTGTCATCTGTGTTGTTGTCTAGCAGAGCATTAATGGAGCTTGAAATGTGGTCTTTCAAAAACAAATCTGCTTCTTCTTATACATTGAATGCAAACACTTCAATACATTTGTCACTGACAAAGGAAATGTAGAGAATGTGTTTGATGTTGGGGTTTTTTTAATGTTTTTTTTTTCAGATTTTCTGGCCTGCCTTAAGAAATTTATTCATCCCTGTTTTTTTAAATTGCTGGCTTGCCAAACATGCATTGGAGAATATGATTGTAAGTATGGCAAAAATGTATAGTTGAGAATTAATTGGTTGTTGGGGGATACTGAAGGGGGTCTTCTTTTTCTTATATCACAGAGAAGGCCAGAGTTCAGCTTACAGTCACCTTCAACCATGATACATGCATTCAACCTTTATAGTGCCAATGGAAATTTGTGGGAGTAAGTGGGGAAAAATTCAAATCACTTAGTTTAATTGCATTTTGAATTGCCTTTCAAATGTCAACTGTTTTGGCATTTCAAACCTTCTGCTTTGTCTCCCCCTAACTTAGTTAGTTTCAGTACCGAGGAATCCAAATGTATTGTCTTATGTAGATAATAAAACCATTGGCCCAACATTAATCCATTTGACTCCTTTCCCTTATTTTCCTGGCTCTAGAAAGCCAGAGCTAAGAACTTTGAGATTGAGGTTTAGCAAATGCCAGTTGTTTTGGCTCATTTTCCATGCTGGTGTGCATACCATAAAAAAATATGGAGACTTAGCCAATGAGCAGCTTTGCTTCACTTATTTCTTCCTAGCGTATTTGGCTCTGGAACCTGCAACCAATGGCAGATTTAAGAATGTGTTTAAGCTTTTGTGACAAAAGTACCAGCCTGTATCATGCTGCTAATTGAATTTCTTGGTCCCACACATGGATACACATTTCAGGTTATATATAATGAAGTAGAAGAGTGTAAATCCAGCCGCTGGATGCTATAGAATTCATTATCATTTTTAAAAAATGGGTCTAAACATTAGCCCAAGAAAGTTTAAGTGTTTCTAGTTGAATAACAAATTCCACGGATTAATCAGCTTCAGTTCATTGATAAGTTTCTGTTCTGAAGCTGTAAAATGGGAGTAATAGTGATTTCTTGTATATCATCACTATAAACATAATACTGTGAACATTAATGCATGGATAGCTTTCTAGATGTACTGGGTTTTTAAAAATGTTTTCCTGAGCAGGTGGTTATCAGAATAAAGCTGGATGATCTTCAGCTGTCCATCAGCCTTCAGTGATCTCTCAAATCAAATCAAATAATTTATTTCGGTCATTGACCAGCACAGAAATAGTCACATTTTCATACAAACTTGGTATGTTTGGTACATTAAAATATAAATAAACCTACTAAAGCACAATATGGGTGAGGGAGCGGAAGGGGAAACAGGGTAAAAACATATAATGCCCAGATCCATCACCAAATTGTAGATTCAGGGAAGAAGATTACTGGACACACAGTTAACTTTTGGGACTAGTCATTACCTGACGGATTTTGTATGCTGCTGCACAGAACTTTGCAACATTGTAGGTTGTAGCTGAATTAATACCTGCAAGTAGCATGGAGGTATAAAATTGTCTTGAATGGCCTGGGTGCTTGTATATCAGAGGTAAGATAAGCCTGGCACGGATATCTCTGTAGAACGGGCACTGAAGGAGCACATGTTCTATTGTTTCTACATGTCCCGAATCGCAGGGGCAGAGTCTCTTTGGGAAAGGGATCTTCCGGTAGCGGTCTTCGAGTACAGCTGATGGGAGAGCATGGCATCGAGCCAGGGTGAAAGCCCTTTGATGATAGGAACCTCTAAGTTTGTTAAATATGCCATAGGGGAGGCAAGATATCTGCTGTCTTCATTGATAAGGAAGGTTGGAACCGAGGCCAGATCTAGTTGTCGCTCTGTGTCTGTGATACGTTGTTTAATAAGTGCTTTGGCTTGATTGTAATCCATAGCGAATAGTAGACCTGGAGAAAATCCCAATGAGGAGATTTTTGATGCTACCGCCTGCTTCCATGTGAATTGGAAATCATCCTTCATGGTTAGTGGGGCAAGACCAAAGGGTGCATGGGATAGTCTGAGCCAGAGGTTGAGTGTGGCCACCCATACCCTGGCCTCCACTCTCATAAAGCCCGTCTCTAGTCGCAGGGTGGCATTGGAAACACATTTAGGTACCTGCAAGGCCGATCTCAGAAACTTTGACTGAACCAGCTCTAATGGGGGCAAAACTGGGGAAGGGGCCCACTGTGATCTCTTGATATGGGGAATATCTGGAGGAATGGGGAGACATAGGGGCTATCAGACAGTCCCATAATGTAGGACCTGTCTCGGTTTTTACCGGAGGCATTGAAATGAAGCAAAATAATGCGGAACAAATCAAGGTTTCCTTGGATTAAATACCTGGAGCTCCTGGTGATACAACGGGTTAAACTCTTGTGCCAGCAGGACTGGTTGACCAAAAGGTTGGCAGTTTTAATCAAGGAAGCAGGATAAGCTCCCATCTATTGAGCTTTAGTTTCTCATGTGAGGACATGAGAGAAGCCTCCCACAGGATGGTAAAAGATCAATTATCTGGGCATTCCCTGGGCAATGTTCTTGCAAACGGGCAATTCTCTCACACCAGAAGCAAGTTGCAGTTTCTCAAATCATTTCTGACACATTTTTTTAAAAATACCTCATTAGTGCCAGGTCTTCCTGAAAGGCTCAGGTCTAATGAGGCATTTATTGGGCGTTCTGTGACACCAGGAATGAGCAATCCTGCAACTTTAGGCTCCTGGAGCCCAACTGTGTGGGAGGGTGCCCAGTACCCACCCCTCCCCTTGCCCCCAGATTTACCCCCTAAAATTTATTTTTAAAGCTTCTTGGCAGCCATGAATCCTTTCCTCACATCCTCCTGGCATGAGAAAATGACACCTGAGGAGATGGGTGTGGGGGGGGGGGGGAGAGATGGGATTTTCCTCCTCACCCTTCCCATCTCCTCAGGTGTCATTTTCTCATGCCAGGAGGATGTGAGGAGAGGCTTCCTGGCTACCAGTGACCTTTTAAGGTGTTTTAGGTGGTAAATCAGGGGCTTCGGTGTAGCTTCATGCTATCCCAGTTTCAATCACGATAGCATGTAGCCGTCCCAAGAGGAAAATGTTGGGGTTGTGGGAAGGAGTGGAGACTAGAACCCATACCAAAGTGGATTATTTTAACTCATTACAGCATGGGTTTTAGTCATGTGTGTTAGGGCCCATAATGTTGCTCCTACTTCTAATTGAAGATCATAGTGTAAGCAGTGACTTTTCATTGGGACTGGGACATTGGCCAGGAATCTCTTTGCCAGTGCATTCCAATTTATTTGTTCTTTCAGTCCCGTAATGTATATTGAAAAGCCATGTATTATTCTAATTGTAGCTCAGCTACATTGTCTATTTTTACTACTCATCCTTTTATAGGAGTCTCATTATTACCTTATATCTATACATGACCTGCGTTCTTTTTAGTCATTTGAAGATTTATTGTATATATTTATTTCATACACCTCTTATATATTTTGTAACCTATTTTGTAACCCAGATGTAAGGACCATGTTTTCTTGTTGATGTTCACTTTGTAGACCTCTTTGTCTTGAAAGGTCTGAGTTAGAAAAAGGGCAATGCTGTCTATATATTGTTGAATTCTGTCTATGTCTATATTAGAAGTCAGTCCCATTGAATTCAAAATAAGTTATGTAAGAATGGACAAGATTGTAGCTTAAGACTGATTATTTTAGAAGGTTTTACATTTTTCAGTCAGACTATGTTACATTTCAAATATTTTCATATATTTCCTATTTTTTCCATCTAGAATGATCTCCACAGAGCCATCCAACGCACACAGTCTGCAATGTTTAACCAAGTCCTGATTTTAATATCAACATTGTTATGTCTTATCTTTACATGGTAAGTAGTACACAGCATTGTTAATACTTGAGTAACACTGTTTTGAGTAAAAGTTGTTCTTTCATTTTATTTAAGGTCATGTTTGGTCATGAATTATTGTTCAGGGTGAGAAGTAATTTGCATGTTTATGGGGAAAGAAACCTCAATTCACGTTACAGAAATGCCACAGTTCATATGAATATAAAAAATTGGTTTTAGGGTTGATAAAACTGATCATTTTGTACAGATCACAGCATACTAGAGACTATCCAATGAAGTTGTAGGTTGGCTAGAACCCAGTGAGCCCAATGCAAAGATAAATTGCGTGTGGATGGGTGACACTCCTCCCACTTGCAGAACCAGAGATGACACGGACACATATGTGGAGTAAAATTGGCCACAGCTTAATTTATTGATTACAGGAACAAAGGGTTGGCTGCCAGGCATGGGTTCTGGATCAAGATTGATCAGCCCACTGCTGACCGATACCTAATGAGTCCAACAGGGGGCCCACCAGCACAATACCAGGCAACAACTCTCTGGTTACATCCCGTATAGACTACTGCAACGCTCTCTACATGGGGTTGCCTTTGAAGACTGCTCAGAAGCTTCAAATGGTCCAGCGTTCGGCAGCCAGGTTGCTAACAGGAGCGGCACTCAAGGAGCACACCACTCCTCTGTTGCGCCAGCTCCACTGGCTGCCAATTTGCTACCATGAACAATTCAAAGTGCTGGCTTTAGCCTTTAAAGCCCTAAACGGTTCTGGCCCGACCTACCTGTCCGAACGTATCTCCTCCTATGAACCAGTTAGGACATTAAGATCGTCTGGGGAGGCCCTGCTCTCTGTCCCGCCTGCATCACAGGCGTGCTTGGCGGGACGAGAGACAGGGCCTTCTCAGTGGTGGCCCCTCGGCTGTGGAACACCCTGCCTGCAGATATTAGGTCGGCCCCCTCCCTGCTGGCATTTCGGAGGAAAGTGAAGACCTGGCTGTTCGAACAAGCATTTGATTAAATAGTGTAAATGAACATAGGAATACGGAATAATGGATGATGAGACTGGATTCTGATTTTACTGTTGAGGCACTAATGATTGTTATACGGATGTTTAATGATTTACGTTACAATTGTTTTTAATTGCCCTATACTTGTCTCGTGATGTTTTGTATCAATGTTGTTCACCGCTGTGAGTCGCCTGGGGGCTGAGAAAAGTGGTATATAAATAAAGTAAATAAATAAATAATAATAACAAAATACGGCACTCCTGGGAACCGCCGGATGTTTCCTCCCCGGCCAGTAGGGGAGGGGCGGAAACCAGATCCAGGGCCCATGTCACATGCCAACCAAAGTTGTGACAAACAGATAATGACCAACAACTGCAACAATGTGCAAGAACAAAAATTGTGCAGGGTGGATGGGAGGACAACCTGAAGCAAGCCTGGTGCCTGCTAGGCCCTTACGCAGCCTATTTAAGGCTGCTGGGCAAAGCGAGTGGCCGGCCCATGGCCAATGCCAGGTGCTGGGTGGGGCCAGCCACTGACTGGCCAACTGCCCATGCGACGGGAAACTTTCCACCGCAAGGGGGCTTCTGGAAACGAGAAGCCCCCTGCTACCAGTATGTCCGGTGGGAGGGTGCCCCCCCCCCGCCACAACAGGCCCCCTGTTGGACTTTGTATATCCTAAGCATTGGAATTCACCTAAATGTTACAAATATCAAGGGAGCAGGGGACTGCAACTACTTGAAATATACAGTTGTGAAATATTTTGATGTTTTGAAACTTTTGATGTAGTGTGCCTTCAAGTTGTTTCCTACTCATGGCAATCATACGGTGAACTTATGACAAGATTTTCTGGTGCTGTAACAATATGACTTACCTAATATCACTCACTGGGTTTTTATTCCAGACCCTGGTCTTCAAAGTCATCGTCCAGTGCTCAAACCACAATACTGCATTGATTCTATTTCCCATATGATGTGACATACACAAAAGCCACAAAATGAAAGTTGCACTAAGTTAGGTTTTCCTTGTTGCTTTTTCATATAAAAACCAATCCTTGTGTTTTAGTATATACTATTAGGCAAGAGTAGCACCTGGGCACTCTGTGGAACTGCCATGTACATCCGAAAGTGCTCCTTAAGTGCCTTTGAATGAGCTTGTGCTTTCATATCTACTGGTGTCTGATTCTCTCTTTCAATTCTGCTGTTGTACTAAAAAAGCTGACATAATACAAAACTATGAGTCCCCGTCCTTTTAACGCTTGGTTGGCTGTGGGAAACAAAAGGTTTTGAAAGCAAGCTGGAGCCTGTGCCTGACAAGCAGGAAAGTGCTACTCAGAAGAGAACATTATGTTCAGGGGCAGGCTGCATGTTTTCTAACTGACAGAAAAGGATGAGGAAAATGGCAAGTTGACCTACAGCAATTATTGCAGTTTTCAGCATCTGCAGATTCCAGCTTATTGTGCTCCATTTTATTCTGCCCTTCTTTTAACCTATATAGAGGGATGGGGTGGAGGAAGAGAATAAATAATAGCATTACTCAATTCCACAATTGCTAGCTAAGGAAATGAAGCCTGCAATAGTTTGCAGTTTTAATTGAGATTATGTTCAGTTTGCTTTGAAACAGTTCACTGTTGATTTTCCATTTCTTTCTCTTGTTGGGATGATGGACTTTCCAAGAGTTATTTCCCTGTATTTAAATAGTTATCAGCAAATATTGATAGCTCTAGGTGCTCTAACTGCCTATTACAGGGAAAACCAACGGATCCCTAATCCATCTAAAACACAGACATGTGCCTTTCACCTTAAGAACAGACAAGCATCCCGAGCTCTGAGGATTACCCGGGAAGGAATCCCACTGGACCATTGCAGCGCACCCAAATACCTGGGAGTCACTCTGGACCATTCTCTGATCTACAAGAAGCACTGTCTGAACATCAAACAAAAAGTGGGTGCTAGAAACAATATTATACGAAAGCTGACTGGCACAACCTGGGGATCAAAACCAGACACAGTGAAGACATCTACCCTTGCGCTATGCTACTCTGCTGCTGAGTATGCATGCCCAGTGTGGAACACATCTCACCACACTAAAACAGTGGATGTGGCTCTTAATGAGACATGCCGCATTATCACGGGGTGTCTGCACCCTACACCACTGGAATTACACTGCTTAGCTGGTATTGCACCAACTGACATCTGCCGGAAAGTAGCAGCCAATAGTGAAAAGACCAAGGCAGAGACATCTCCAGCTCATCCCCTGTTTGGGTATCAGCCAGCACGTCAATGACTTAAATCTAGAAATAGTTTTCTAAGATCTACAGAGACACTCGCTGGAACACCTCAGCAAGCAAGAGTCCAAAAGTGGCAGGCTCAAACCCAGAACCTCAACCAATGGCTGATACCAAATGAGAGACTCCCCCCTGGGCACACAGAAAACTGGGCAACTCGGAAGGTGCTGAACAGACTGCGCTCTGGCACCACAAGATGCAGAGCCAACCTTCAGAAATGGGGCTACAAAGTGGAATCCTCGACATGCGAGTGTGGAGAGGAGCAAACCACTGACCATCTGCTGCAATGCAACCTGAGCCCTACTACATGCACAATGGAGGACCTTCTTGCAGCAACACCAGAAGCACCCAAAGTGGCCAGCTACTGGTCAAAAGACATTTAATCAACTACCAAACTCACAAATTTTGTATTTTGTTTGTTTGTTTGCTTTGTTCTGTTAGAAATGTAATATAATGGACTGGTTGCCATGACACGACAAATAAATAGCCTAAGTATTCTTATTGATGTGTGGCAGTTGGTGGGTGTTGAATTGTTGCAATATAATGATATTGGTTCAAGAGCTCGGGGGACATGCTGCAGCCATGGATGTGACAGACTGTAACCACAATCTAGATTGTACTTGTCTACACCACAGTTCATGCTCTGCCCACAGATGGGTAAGCTATGCCAGCTGGATACCTGAAATGGCACTCTGGCTCAAAGTAATGTGTCTTTCTTGCTCAGTAGTCTAGAAATGTAATCTGCAAGTGATTATTCAGCTTTCTAGGTAACCTTTTAAGCCTAGCATTAGAAACTACATTCTGTGTCCTGCCAAATGCAGTATGTCTAACTGATTATAAACATAGGTGGTGCTTCATATATGCAATAACCAGATAGCCATTCATTTTCACACATGTAAGCAAACACAAATACTACCAGATTTCTTGGAGAAATGTCTGTGACTGGAAAGGAAATTGTCTAGAGTGGTTCCTATGACCAGAAAATGGAGAAAACATGCTATTAGAAATGCCCAACTGTGTCTTGTTATATCTATGTTAGCCCTAATTGGTGGCTTGTGTTAAGTTAAAAGGTCTTATGATATTGCATGTGCTGGTGACCTCAAGATTGGACTTCTGCAATGTACTTTATCAAGTTTGGAAGCCAAGTTTGGAAACTTCAATTAGTTCAAAATATGGCAGCCAGACTAGTTACAGGAACATTTATTTATTCATTTATTTACTTTATTTGCTTAGGTGACTCGGAGTGGTTAACAGCAACAGTTTCAGTATACAAAGTACAAGGTTATTGGGTATTTAAAAGCAATCACATAACAAGTTAATTAACAATAAATATCAATACAACAATATATCAATACATCAATATAACAAATCCATCAGATCTCATAACTAGAATCAGAATCCATCAGATCTCATAACTAGAATCAGAAACATCTGGAGCAAGCACATCACACCCACACTAAAGTGACACCACTAATCTCCAATTACCCTGATTTCATTGCATAATTGTTGCCAATGCCTAATAATCACACACCCGGTGGCGCAGTGGATTAAAGCCCTATGCTGGCAGGACTGAAGACTGACAGGTTGCAGATTCAAATCCGGGGAGAGGCGGATGAGCTCCCTCTATCAGCTCCAGCTCCTCATGCGGGGACATGAGAGAAGCCTCCCACAAAAGATAATAAAAACATCAAATCATCTGGGCATCCCCTGGGCAACGTCCTTGCAGAAGGCCAATT